TACTAGCATTTAGTAGTTGTATTCAATAAGCAAAATTTTTGCACAATTTCAAAAACTCTAAAGGATAAACACCTGAAAGTTGCCAAATTTTGAAAAATTAGAATTTGGCTTAAATATGAATTAATTTTTGTTCTCAATTTCTCCTTCAGGTACTTCGTAATATTCAGGGGAAAGTTTGCACAAAAAATCAAGGTAAACAGGAACACACTCTGCAAAATTTGTAAAAAATTTGCATTTCCCTTGATTTTTATTCTTTTTCATTCAACTTTTCAACGCGAATGTTGTTATTTCGCAAAATGCATAATTATGCGAAACAAACCGTGACCTAAAATAGAACTTTTAGGTGAGTACCCCCACTGAATGCAGCTTTGTACTGTCTCGTTTAGTTCAGCGAAGCGAATTCAGCTCACTTTCTCCGCGAGTTTCTTGTGTTCTCGCTTACACTGCAACAATTCAACTTTGAGTTAATATACACATCGCATCATGTTATCGTCATCATTTTGTTTCACGTGCCCATGATTTACACAAATGGTTGTAAATATGTATCAGAAGATGAAAGGAAACAAGAAACGTATGCAAATGCAAATAAATGGAGGGCTGCTTTCTCCACCTGCTTTCACTACTCGCTTGGCTGGACAAGTATAATTTTCTAGGAAGCAGGTAGTTGGAGAAGAAAGTCATCGATTTTGACGTCCTAGATAACTTATGATGAGATAACCAAGTAAGATAAACACATGTAAATTTGCATACATTTTAGAGTAATGTCTATTATTTGTTGCATGAATGCACTCCATGTCAATATTTAAAATGGTAAATAAATTAAATTCTTGTTAAAAACCCATCTAAACCACTAAATCTGAATCACATAGCAGCTACTCAATTGATTACTAACAATGGAGGTCTCTAACTGCATGCTCTCCGATTTTTGGCCAAATTAATGCCAATCGATCACAAATTTAATTAGTATGCAATTTGCAACAGACATTTTCTGGCAATGGTCAGGTTAGGCAGAGATATTTGCATCCGAATAGGAGAAAATGCGGAGTAAATTTAGAAAGTGTAAAATTTATCTTTACGGCGCATTTTCTCCTCTTCGGATGCAAATACCTCTGCCATTGGCAGATCGTACATTTTGCAAATACCATAATGATTAAATTTGAGATCTATATTGGCACTAATTTCGTCGACGTCTGAGAGCATACGCTGGGAGACTCTAATTGTAAGTTCACATCGGGCGTTGTCTCTATTCACCATCATTATCAGCTACGAGATCACAATAAAAATTAATAATCAGCGTTAGATTTTCAAACACAGTGATTGATCTATTGCAAAATCGCGCAGAAATTTGATGTCACATGGTTTTGTTCTGTTTTGATCGTTTTCTAGATTACGTTAACCTTATATAAATTCCTTTTATATGCTCCAAAAAACAAGCACTATTTGTCTGTTAACTTTGATATATTTTCAAATTTCTCATCATTTATTATGCTAACGGTGTATTTATGTGTGCTTTCCTTTCCCTATTTTTGTGTGTGGTACGAATTTCCCATTATCGTAATTGACGGAAGGATGGAAAGCTCATGTAAATGGAAACATATTATTTTCTCCCTCCGCTCCTTCGTTGCTACAAAATCGTCCCCCGAGACATTGATACGTCTTCATTTCCTCCTGTTTCTGGTTAAATCAGTAAAATATTTATTCCTATTTCGCACTACTGCCGATTCACGTGTATTTTTGTCTTATTGACCACTTCAATTTGTTTACTGCGCCGTTCGTGATACAATATTTCTTCGTTGGAGAAATATATTATTTCATCGTCATTGTAGTTGAATGGGTAAAAAAGGCGAGGTATAAATATAAATTTATGTTTTAATATTTTTTATGATCTCTAAAATCAAATTTTATAAATGATGAATCTGTTTGATTTGGCTAAGTTATTTTCGCGTATTTTAGGCGAATGCAAAATACTGATTCATTTCGAGTTAACTCGTTACACAATTTTAATACTTCCTTTTCATCCATTTTCTGTCAAATAAAAGTCTATAGAAAATATTTTTGGAAATTTCTGTGCCACTGTTAAATTTAGTAGATTTTCTCAGGCTCGACGAAATTTCATTTTATGCTGGCAAAAGGTGGACTCCACGTGTCTGTCCAGTCTGATCACAAATATAATTAATGAGGAAAGGACTTACTCGACGGGTCCGACCTTGATGGAGAATCATGAATGAATCTCTTTTGCTTTATTCGGGCTTGGGGGCTGGTGGCTTTTTGCTTGTAAATATGTGACAGAGTCAGAGAGCGACATGCGATGGGACCAGCCAACCGTGCCGACACATTCACTCGACGACCCGTCTGGAGAAAGCGGTGCACATGTCCGGCTCTCCCGCTAATTCAGCTATGTGCACGCTAAATAACTTGGTAGAAACTTGTTACCGTATGGTAACAAGCTCCACTGATCCTCAGTGTTTCAATTTGGTTTGAAATTGTAATGCTTGTTCAAATAATTTGCTACTAATTATCAGTAACAAATTGCAACCGAGTCGATCATAAGTTACTACAAACCTTGGGGCATTTACTTAGGTTGGAAATACTAAACAGAATTATTTAGAGTAAAATTCCCTCGAGCCTCAACATTTTTGTGTAACCACATCCACTCTCTGATTGAAATTGGAGTTGATAGAGTGATTTCCGATAAATAATTTGGGACGCGTTATCGCACACGGGGCAGAATCTTGGCTGACCGGCTTTCACCTTCAACTTTCTCCACCGGGGCTGGCTTTCAGTCCTCCCCACCCACACGACGACTTGAAGTGTGACATTCCTCGTGGACTCTGGGTCATCAGATGCACCGACTCCCACGCCACGTCAAGAAGACCTCAGACCTGTCCAGGGACAAAAGAAGAGCGAAACACTTAGCGAGGATCCCAACATGAAGAAAACGAGCGGAGAAAGTGGGGAGGCATTTGAGACTGAACTTTGGCGTTGTTGGCTGGGATGGATTTCAACGGATCAATTTGTTTCCCTCTTCGCTCTGAATGGGGGATGACTGTCCGTCAGAAGAGAAGGAGAAAGCCATTATAGTCATCATTCATCTAATGGCTTGGACAGAGGAGGAATCCACTTCAGTTAAAGACACCCTTAAAAATTGCACAGTTACAGAAACTTGCGTGCACGGTAAATTTGCGATCTTGCTGATCAGGACACACGTTTCATTGTTATGAATCAGTAAAAACACCCATGAAATGTTAAAGCACACATAATTTGGTGACTTTACCAGCTGGATAAGATCGGGTAAATGTTTGATAAGCAATTTGTAAAAAAATTCTTAAGAGTGAAATCTCCAAGTTCAATACTTGGTCTGAATTGACTTTCTCCTCCGGGGTCGAGGCTGAACAGTGGATGATGTGATGGAATGAATACGTTCGCGTCCTTGAAATGTTTGCAGACCGACATTTTTGGATTGTTGTCCATTCCAGTTGGATCCATATTTCGGATATTACTTTTTACACACCACTAAACTTTCTCCATTTCGAAGGAATGTAAGAGATGCATGAAGTGCATGCATTGGACGAGTGTAAACACTTGCTTGGGTAATTTCGTGATGCAGCTTGTACTGTGATAACCATAAGACTTTATCGGATACAAGAAAGTCAAAAGACAAAAAATCGAAGCATTTCTAATTCAGCTTAATCATAGGTGGCTTGTTATTTAGATTTAAACTGCATGAAACTCACTGGTCCTTTTTGTTGGCTTTGTTAACAACTTACGATTAGTTTTAGCTTGGTTTTGTGTACTTTCGAATAATAAATAAATTATTGTTTTATGTGTAATTGTATTTAAATAATAGAAAAGAGTATTAAGTTTTAAAAAAATACTCGAATCTAAAATTTGTAATTATTTTTTCAAGCCTTCATAGCATTAATTGAAACCTTACGTGTCATATTTCTTATAATTCTTCCAGATTCCCAAGTAATCACGAGACGAAGAAAATAAAATAAACTGGAATCACATTTAATGGTGTCCTTTAGCTGTGAAAATGCATAACTGTCACTTTTGGCAGCTATATCTCGCGAGTGTGATTAATTTAGAAACGGAGAAAAGGAGAAAGCTGAGGCATGAGTGAAAGTGTATGAATTTCTGAGTCACTTGAAAGTGAAGATTTTTAACAAACGAGAGCAGCAGAAACACGGGAACGTCCATATATTACGTCATCATTTTAGTGGGTGGGTGATTTTGGTCTTCCTATCTTTCCCATGTTAAAATTCCCTATCCCTTAATGTTTACGTTGGGTGGGTGGGTGATAAAATCGAGAATTTTTGATGACGTAATATATGGATAAGCCCCACGACTTTCTCTCACATTTTTTAGCGACAAGTGGGCAGATATAGATCGAACTTTTGTTAGACTGCATTTTCCCCGAGATTTAGGAAACGAGCCGGTTTATCTCGGCAGATGAACCAGACAGACGATTTTTTAAGATGTAAGTAAAGCACACAATTTATCACTTGTATTAACAACAAATGACACGGGTTTGCTTTATCCAGGATATTTTTAAGGGGATGTATTTTTCTTCATAAAATAGAAATGAAGATTTCCAGCGTAATATTTAATGCGTGATTTTGCATCATCTTCGAAATTCCGGGTGACATCAAATTTCTTCAAGTCCACTCTGCTTTCGCATTAATTTATACATACCCACGACCTCCGCTTTTACCATTTTATTTATCCTCATCCATTGAATTAAAACCTTACATTTTTGCAATGACAATAAATATAAAGTGAGAGGTCTCATAGTTCGTATTAATTACATCGACATATTTAAGTATGCAAGTGCGACGTGGTGAATGGTGAGATGGAAGTAATTCAGGTTTATCGTATGGATACATATTCGTTAAGACTGGAGTTACCACTTTCCCGATTATGTATAACGATAAGCAAAACGCTACATAAGTATGTGATGTAATTAGTAATTCGTAAAATTACGATCTGGCCAATTAGCTTTTGAAAAACATTTTTTATCCAGTATGAAAATAGTTTTAAAATTTACAGTGACTTTTGGCACAACATGAATCATGCTACAGTAGTGAGGCTAGTTAGGTACATAAAATTTAAACTTCAACTAAACTTCAAGCTAACACAATAATGTAAATCGTCGCTTATTACAATTCATAATGATAATTTTCTATATCATGTCAATTGCTTTGCGGATAACTTCTTTCTCACTTTACGGCACATGTTCGTCATTTCTGTCATCTGAACAAGAGAAGAAAGTGCTGTCCGATATTGCAAGCCAGATATCTCCACCTAATAAAGGGGACAATTACTCTGAATGACAGTAATGATGAAATTGTTGCGTAAAATTGACAACATGCGGACGAACATTGAACCTTTTGTTCTTAAATGGTCCATCCTTCGGGACATTCATACTCCGTCCTGACTTCGAAGTTCTCTGGATGGTGGGTGCAGGTCATGAACCCGAATCCCTTACCACGTGGAGAGTGACCCAAGATAAAGCAGATGATGGTGATTGTTGCGATAAAAGCCACCAAGGAGTAAGCCCGTAGCATCCAGATCCGAGTGAGATGACCCTTCACACAAGATGACAATCATTAGGTCAAAGGTTACACAGCAAATATTTTACATGTCTGTCTCACTGGAGTGTCGAACCGATCACTTTCGAGGATAACGGGGATGGGTGCGATGAGATAGATTCGTCCATGTGTAAGTTTCATGATGCCATCGTTGATGCACTGCAGAAACTGTGAAGAATAAAAAAAATCAAAGTTCAATCATGTGAGGTCCACAAGGTTCTTACTGCGGTAACCTTACCGTCATAACGAAATGCATCACCAGGTCGAATATGATCCAGACCACAACGACAACGAAAACGGCCTCTTTGTTGAAATTCTGCAATACATAAGGCACCACGGAAAAATCCTGAAAGGCTGCAGGGGAGCCGGGAATGCGGATCGAGGTGATCATACAGATCACTAAGGACATATTCACATACATAGAATCCACATAGTAGAAAGGTCAAAGCTTATCCTTTTTATATTGTACACTAGTAATCAAATATGCACATGTACTCACGACAAAGGACGTAGTAAATATATCCGAGGAGCGAGTGCAGGATGATAATGATGTCTCTTAGGAGACGATTCATGCATCGAAAGCCACCGAGGATGAGCATGGTCGCCGCGATGGAGACAGAAATCCAGCCAAGAACTCGATGCAATCGCGCTGTGGGGTGCAGACTCACGCCGAGCATAGCGCGCGTCTCCACCAAACGCCACATCCCGACCAAGAACAAGAGTAGCGTCACGATCGCAGACCAAAGGTGGACCTAAAGGTTCGAAATAAGTTTAACTTGTCAAAGTCAACGCCATTGGCGAGACTCACAAAGAACCAGAGGTGCAGCAGCATAAGTCGCGTGTTCATGAACGTCTCCTTGAAGTATCGCGTGAGAAAGAACGATATCGGGGTGACGAACATGACGATGATGGTCATAATCACGCCGTGAATCAGTCTCGAATCCTGTGGAAATACAAATGCCTAAATTAGCACAGCCAATAAATCACCAGGATCGATTAAGCTTGATGTTCACCCAGATGTAGACGGTGTATGGGCTCTCGTTCACAACCATGCCGCGCTTGTAGGCATTAGAGTCTTTCATCTTGAGCGCCATTTTTTCCTCATTTGGTGGCTTTGTTGCACCTGCATAGAAACATATCTAAATCGGGATTCAGTTGGCTAATGGCCAGTAGAGGATAATATTTACCCTTTTCAGTGGACGTTGGTGGCGTGTAGGGTCGCGGAACGGGGATGGCGCAGGGAAATTTTTTTTTCACCTCTTCCATCTTTTCGCACAGGTCAACCATGACCTTCCTCTTCGTCGACTCCTTATACTTGTCCTCCCATTTCTCTCGACTTCTCGACTCATGCTGTTTATCAACCATCTTCACGAGCCTTGCAAGAGCGGGTTCTAAAAAAACGGTAAATCAAGGTCAGAAATACTATCATTAAAATTTAACTCCAAAAGTAGTAGCTGAATTCGGAAGCGCTGCACTAAATCTGATGCAAAATTAGGGATTGAACGAGGCATAGAACGATTTTTAATTAGGACATTAGTTTTGCGTAGCAATGTCATAGGATTATGAAATATTATCATTTTTCCGCTTCTTCATTCATGTTTCACTCACCTTTCGTCTTGCCGTCTCTGTACTCTTGGAAGAAGTCGTCGCATTTGGGCGCCGCTGCCTTCAAGCTCCCCACACCATCATTCCACCAAAGGAGCGGCCTGCACCTATAATTAAGAGGAATATAATATGTTATTAATGTAATTAAGATAATTGATTAACTAACGTACCTTCCCGTGATGGGAGGAAACATTCTGTAGAATTGTTCGTCCCGCCCTTTTTGTTGAATCTCAACATCATTCGCGAGGTACGGAATGGCTCTAATTATATAACCCGACGAATTTTGGAAGGACTCCACGCCCAAACAAGTCACGTCGTAGTACGGGTGCGGCAGATATGTGGGTCCTGGCTCATAGAGTAGATTAGTTAAAGTATGTATGCTGCAGTAGGTTCCATTTCTATCGTCCGGATTAGACGGATCACGATCGTCCGCGGCGATAAAAGTTTCCCAATCAAATTCGTTCATTTCCCGGGTGACGATGCCGATGATTACGAGCCAGGAAGAGAGAGAAGTTTCTTCCGGTAGGCCTAGAACATCACGAAATTTTGTCCAAAATGTTCCTCCAAGCTCCTCGGATAGAGGACCTTGGTAGGTGGAGGTGCGGCGAAGTCCAAAAGCGTTGACATCGTCACTCGGGGAGTCGAGTTCTTTCACGTCGCTAAGAAGGAGATCCTTCGGGAGGCCAAAGATGAACTTGATCGAGCCGCCGAAGGTGGAGTCGAAAGTCGCTTTGGGGTTGAGTTTGAGGTCAGCCCCGGCAGTGACGGACATGCGATGTAGCGTTTTTGTTCCGGGCATTTGGAATGGCTGGGCGTCATTCATGACCCATTCGCCCTGCAGCGGATGGCTGCACTGGACGCTCTTCACTCCATGCGGAATGGGGTCGGCACTTTCGTAGAAGATCGGAGCGTGCATCGCATGCGAGGAAGAGAACAGGATTCGAGTGGATATCGAGCGTTGAATGGCTGGGAAAAGAAAACTAAAATTTGATACGGACACAATTCAAAGGTTATCTTCTAATTTGGATTAGTTCTCACGGTAAACGAATTCAAGAGGCGAATCATCTCGAGGTTTTCCGGACGGGTGGTGGGCCCAGTTGTCGAAGGATTCAGGCGTAACATTTTTGTTCATCACGATACCATTTACGCTACGGAAGTATGACGTATGAAAAAATTACGATAACAAAATATAGGTACAGAAATTCGTCTTACACAAAGTCAATCTCAGCGTAGCGGTTGCAGAAAGAGTTGTCTAGCCGAAAGTTGAGATGGATTTCAGGTTCACCCTCGACAGTTTCCTGGGTCTGGCCATACTTGGTCTTCTTGTTGTTGTGCGTCCGCGTATAGTAAAAGTTATTACCGTACTAATGGGTGGACACAAATAATATTTCAACATTCGTCACAATAATTACGAAATAATTAACTATTAACATGAGCTTCTCCGAATTGGACAGTTCCACAAGACATGAACTGTTGCTTGACATATTCCGTCTTCATTCTATAGCCGTCCTCCTCGCAGGGGGGAAAGTCTTGGACAAATTCGCCAATTCCACCCACCCACACGCGACGGGTTGGCCGAGGCTCCGGCTTAAATGGGGGACGTCCCGTTTGCTGGAAGGGTCCACAACGTTCGCAAGGAGGTCGAGGTCTCCCAGCGGCGAGCGTCAGGCCTCGTGCCGTCACCATGAGTTTATCAATCACGTGGTTGGCCAACACATCGGCAGCGGCTGAGGGTTGGTTGTCGACACGTACAAGAAGTTTTTCTGCGTCTTCCTTGGATAAATTGTGATCTACGGCAAGCCTGATTCTCAAATGGTACCAGCCTAAGGATAAGATAATTGAAGTTCTGATCCTTCAGGGTGACATAAAATGATTTATATTTCACCTTTCATAAAGTGACCTCTGCTTTTGATCCCAGTCACATCCACACGAAAGATAAGTCCCAACCTCTTCCCCGTCATGAGTTGTAAAGCGGTGTTTACCAGGTCGGTGCTGTAACGCCTGTGCCAGAACCAAGCTGTCGGCTCTCGCATCCAGAACTCGGAGTGAGGTGTGTGGGCGAAATCATGCACGTCTGGGCTGTCAGCAAGGACGCCGGAACCTGTGGTTAATTTTAGAATATGTTTTGTGAAATTTGTTCCCCAAGTACCACCTACATATTTACTGGAAGAGATCACATGAGTATATTCAACAAACATGCGATTATGACGACGTTTTACTTACTCAAGAAACGGAACTTGGGGACGTTGGCGCAGAAAAAGTGCGGGTTAAAGTTGGATGGATTTTGTAGGTCGGAGTCATCGGTGCGGAAGCGGTCCCATGATTCCATGTATGCGACGCGCGAGTGGTAAACATTTCTCGCTCTTTAGAAGATGGCAAATTTAAAAATTCAATTCAAATTAAAAATAAGTTAATCCAATTAAAAATTTTAGTGGCCAGATTACTTAAGGTCATGTCACATTGAAGAAATTACTTACTGGTTCGTCATAATTAAGCATGTAACGGGAGGATTCTTATTATGAATCCACCTTAAGGGACCCAGCTTAGGCTTGAAGACTGTCATGAGGTCTTCCACTCGCGTATAGAGTTGGCCTGTGACACTGGTTGTCAAACAGGCGGCCAAGCCGACCAGGATCACGGGGGAAAGGCGACACATGACGATGAGGACAATTTTCTTCCCCAATGAAGAAGACGACGAGTACTTAACGCACAAAGATATAGTTCTTCTTACTCAGAACTTCTGAGAGGCTGGTGAAGGGAACTAACTGAAGTCGGGGTGTGACGGAGGATGAAGACCGCCAAGTAATTGGAGGAGGATGCCGAATAATGCTGGAGAAATGATGAGATTCCCTCATATATAATCTATTTGAAAAACAATTACTAAAAAATTAGTTACCACTATGCTTGCAGACAGAGAAAATTTTAAATGTTTACCTTTTTAAAAATCTGGGGGTAAAAAAAAATCTGGTAGAACGAACAGCAGGATCACTTTTTTGGGCAGAATTTTCTCAACTTTTGACCTCTGCGAGGGTCCGAGATTTGATCGGCTCGTCATGGTAATATAACTTTTCGGCGCAATGAGCATTTTATATCGGGTTTTGTTTTCACAAATTTTGAAAAGTTCAGAATGATAACGATGGTCCAGTTCCAAAGTTTTCACAAATCACTTAATTGTATTAGCGCCATAGCCATTAAAAATAAAAAATAAACGGGGCACTTAAAAAAATATTTTTTTAATTTGAGACACGTTTCAGCATGTTTTGTTGATCAAGTTTTCGCTTAAAAAAATGGCTTAAAAATATGGCTTAATAATGTTGACATAATTTGTGCATTTAAAATTCAAATATTTAAAGCCATACTTTCCACTATAGTAAAAGAGTTGATTTGCCCGAAAAATAAACAATTTAAAACAACTATGCACAAAAGTTCTACTTTTTTCTGTGCTAGTTGAGTTCATTTCCGTTGCCAATAATCCTTTGAAGGCAACCAATTTACTACAAAACAACACAAAAGGTAGACATACATAAATGTAACAAAGGGAGGAAAACGATATTTGCGAAATCTGTGTTTTCACAGATTTGGAGTGCAATTTAAGGTGGGAAATGCCACCCGGTTTCCTCCTCGATTGTATTTTCTAGGTACATGGAGAAAGTCCATCCGTTTCATGTGTCGAATTCAATTTGTAACCAAATTTCGTCAAAGTGAGACAAAATCAAGGCAGCAAATCCACAAGATTTATTTGCTTGAGTGAAAGTACAAATTTGTGGGGGACAGGGTTCCGTGCGGACCATTTTTCTTGTGAACTATGCAAGATAAGCATTATTTTGATAATGCAATCGTAAAATTCTCGATTCTAATAATAATTATATTTACATACGAGTATAAGCAATAAATACAGAAATATTTATATGCAGCATCCTAAACATGGATCTCACTCTCAGCCAGTCAGAAAGTTGACTTATACTTTTCAACACTTAAAAAACGTCAGAAACCCAGCTTCGTTATCAAATTATAAATTTTATTTATGTAAGTAAGTAGTTAACAAATTTCGAAAATCGATCACACTTTTCTGCTCACAGATCATCTCTCCGTGAAAGTTATCTTTCTCTCATCCAATTTTCACTACTTTCTCCATCAAGGAAGAATAATCGGTTTTGTTGTGCCGTATATTTTCCTCGTCACATTTAACGTATAAACTTTTGTGAAATGAGTGATCATCATCCGATACGATGCAGGGAGGAAAGTTATTGTATTCGCAATTTGCATATTGCGAAAACATAAATCAGATTATGATTTCATATTATACGCGAGGATCGTGCATAAATACCTTTCTAAGGGTAAAGATATCCCGTAGATCACATGTTACTAGGGCATATCGACCACGTGTTTTATACCCAATCCCCCGTCACAACTCCTTAACTTTGCAAAATGTTGGCCAAATTGAATAAAACCACGAGAAACTGATGGACGAGACGAGGTGTTGAATAATGGTATCGATGTTGGCACGGAATAAATGCAGATTGGCGGATTCGATGGCTAACGGTTCAGTCAAGTTCATTTGCTTGGGCACGTTTTGGATGTAAACGTAGTGCAAATATTTACTTTGTAACGCCTCGTCCTGCCTCCAGCCTGACTCCGTCCGAAAACCGGTGTTATGTGGATAACATAAAAGTTGGTTGGTTGGTTGGCAAAAGTGTGTATGTATCCATTGTTTGGATAATCATGACTATCCATCCAGCCAGTAAAGTTCATGTTGGGCAAAGTCCGTAAAGCTGTTAGAAATTGTTCAGGCTTATCTGTTTACGCTTAAAATGGCTTACAAAACATTGAGCAAAGACCGTGCAGAATTCTTTGAATTTCAAAATATTTACTTATCAGATGGGTAACAATGTATTGCGTAATATTGGTAATGCGAAGGTGACAAAGATATGCGGCACGAGAATAAGCACATTTTCCAGATTATACTGTCGTCCATATTATACCCTTATCCAGGTTTTTTTTGTCCGTATTTTGCATTGTTCAGTACCACGTGGTCCTTGTGCTCGGAACCCGTGACAAAGTATTTATTGAGCTTACTTTAATTTTATGGCAAAAATGAATCTAGTGACAAGAGAAGTGCGCTGGGTTTATAATTTGATTTCGCAAAGTTTCCATTGTCAGTCCCATTATTGACTCGGATAAAAGAGTGATGCTGGAAAAACGGATAATTCCAAATTTTGCGTGGGTTGGTGTGTGGTGTGGATAAGTAAAAGTTTTGCTTATCCACTTATCCACCCGTGCATATATCCATTTCGTTGTCTTATTAGAAGTAATAGCGTTCGTTACTCTTCTCATGTAATTATATTAATGGAAAAGGTATCAGAGTGGGTGGGTGGGTGGACCGAATTCAAGACACGTGCAAATATTTTTCTTACTAAAAACGTCAAAAATTTCCAAGTTTTTTTTTCCTACGCCAAGAAGGTACGAAATAGTTGAGTAAAGAATTAAAGTGATTATCAAGAATATTCTGGGACGATCCAGTTCGGATTCTTGAAAGCTATGGGAATTTTGACGGGAGATAAAAGTTGGTGATTATCCTGGTAAAATATTTCTTAGCCGAATGACTGAGGAAAGTTGATTCACCACCATAAGTCTGGCTGGAAAGGAGAGAAAGCGTTTATTTTTAGGCAATGAAAGAAAACCCAAAGTCAATATGAGACCATTTAGCCTTCCACAATATGGATGGGCACGACATGAGGGAATAGTTCACACTCTTAGAAAAATTCTGGCAGATCGACCCGGAATTTTGTGAGGTTTGGAATCCTATTCATAAGAGTCATACGTGTGTCATGGTCAAGTCAGTGGCCGCGGAAGCGTGGGGACCGCAGGACAATGTCCCCACGGGTAGTCGATGTCCCCACGGGTAGTCGATGTCCCCAAGGGTATTCGATCTCCCCACGGTATTCAAAATCCCCAAGGGGATTCGATCTCCCCATCATCTATCCATGTTATACAAACCCCTCCCTTCCCCTATCCTATCATGTTATGTTCCCACATGTCCCCACAGCCTCCGTGGCCACTGGGTCACCGCCCAGTTACAGATTGTCACCACATTTTTTAGAGTGTATTTAGTTTAGTTGAGGTGGTAAAGAGGCATGAGTCAAATGGATATGCATACATATGTACCCCCAAACTTATAGGACCTTGCCCTTTTATTACAAAAGTTGACGAGAATGCTTTCACCGGAAGGCAAATGAAAGTCCATTGTTCTTTTGTCCACCTCAGCAAACATGTTCCCGTCCTGTTCCTGACTGGAGAAAGGACCATGTGTTAGCCTTTTTCCTGAAGTTGCCGACCTTGGCCTTGAGTTGCGGTTTAACCAGTTTGGGAATCAATGTCAATGAATTTTTGCATGGTAAGGGTTTTATTGTTTTGTGTGGTTATGTACGAATTTTGAGGCTGGTTTCTGGTCAGTTTTTCAGTGATAAAATTCGTATACGTGCTACTATGTTATTCATGATGATACTGTGTAACCTGTCAAAATATTGTTTAGAAAAGTTGGTGAACGTGAACCGTCATTTGTCATTTACAGGCACAATTTTTAGGCAGAAATTTGTAACATCCTGCACACAGATAAATAGTTTCCCATAAAAAATAACCGGGATATTTCCAGTTTGTATATGGAAGAACAAAACTTTGATAATTCAGTAGACACATTACAATGAAAAGTATGATGAAGTTTCATATCAAAAAATGATTTATTCACATTCTCCAGCAAATTAACTAAATTTATTAAATTGCAAAGTTTGGGCAAAACAGGTCTCTCAAAACATAGGTACTAGATCGCATTCTCCCTACAAAAATCTCTAAAAAATGTGCTTTTCTTCAATTTGTGAAGAATTTGTATTTCTTCTGAATTGCATGAAACTCATAAGCTAGAAAATAATAAGTCATTCAACCGACGAAAAGTTGAGTAAAAAGTGGGGACAATAAAGTCTCAATTTAATATAATTGAAGTCTGAACGGGCACAATTGCATTTCTCTGCCTGAGAGCTCATCATTATACACGAGCTCAAGTCATGATCAGGTAGTGATCATCTCGTGTCTTAAACCTGTAAAATTTCATCGGTTCACGTCTAGGTTTGGAAAACATGCATATTGATTAAGATTTTATCATGAAAGTTATTTAAAAGAAGTCGGAAAATTTTTCATGAGTCTGGACGGAAAACAGGAAATATTTGTAATAATAGAAACCTCAGGAAAGTGAATGTCCTGGAAAACTGCTTCCTTAGCTAACATTTACTTCTCAGATTGCAAGATCAACATTTTTTTAAACGTCAGGTAGAAAGCAGATAAGGAATTGATATGGCCACCCGCTTAATCGCATGATACACAACCAGGAACCCGGAGTTTTTATCTGATCACATGATACGTACAGCATTACTAAAAAATAAAAAAAATCCTCAAAATTCTGTAGAGGATTTGGCCTTATTTTTGCGAACGTGACTCTGCAGTGTAAAATTTTCATCCTTTTTGGCGTATTCACGTCAAATTCGATAAGTTTTGGACGTCAAGTTGCCATCCGAAAATTGCCAATTTTGATGCGGTTTGTCTAACCACGTAAAACGGGAAAGTAGTTACGTCACGATTTTATTTTCCCATTGTGCCTTCTCCATTTCAAATTTCTCTCGTAAAATAATTGAACCGGGTGAAAGCACGTCGTACTCTTGCCAGCATTTCGGCACAAATTAGACGAGACTGCGAATCAATTTAGCAGCTCAGCCCTCGTGATCTCTTGCCTGATCTCTGCTTTCACTCTGCCCGTCTGACCTGACTTGGCTTCCTCCCTCGGCCAAAGTGAAACGTTAATCAGTCGGGAAACCAACAAAAGCAGAA